AGCGTTAGTTATTTTTGTTAATTAGACGTTTTCTCAATCGACATATGAATTACATGATATTTTGTTACTAACAGGAGTTTGACGGTGCCGTGCACTTTGTACTTTACAAAACAACGTTTTATCACTCGGCAGTTACTTTTTTAAATAGTTAAACATTGTTATTTATGTAAAATAGTAATCGTTTACTAAGTTTTGATACACTTGTTTTTGCTATTAATAAATTTTCTTTTGCATCGTTTGAAAAATATACTTTTTAAAATATAATTTATATTACTGATGTGCATTTGCACGTGTCATTACAAAAAAATCAAATACAAAAAAAAAAGTTTTTGTCGTACTCAGTGCAAATCAAAGTGATAGTGTAGTTACAATTTGACTTACGATTGTCATCCTCCTCGATAGAGGGAATGGTAGCTAGAGGATGTGTTTCGATTTCTAAACGAGATTCAAAATCGTTAATAGCTNTACTTATTCAAAAATACTTAGGCTTCAGTTTTTATTTACAATTTGAGTAATATTTATAGCAGTTATTTATGGCTAATATTATAGCTATAATTTACAGAAGATTATAGCTGTTATATAGGAAATTATAGTATGATTGTAGTTATAATTTATAAGTTTAATTATAGGTATAAACTTTTGACTGAGCTACGTACGAGTTTTCAAAGGTTTCGATTTAAGGTAAATGTCCCGATTGTGAGACAACGTCCGTATAATGGGATGTTTTGAAATTAATAAATATATAGATAATGGAGAATATACTGAAATGTGAATAAATTTTGTTAACTTATACGTGGAAACATTTATCATATATATTTTTTTCAAGGCCATAGTACGTAAAGAACGTTACAAAAAAAATGTTTATTGCAACTCTGCCATTGCAGTACTATGGGACATACGAATCTGCGCCTATTGTGACTTTCACTTTACTGAGTTTTTTCTTAATTAAATTGAATTCTTTGTCAAGATATGTTTTTTTTTTCATGAACTTAGGTATTCCTAAATATATTTAAAAACAAAGATCAGTATTTTTAACGCAGATTTTTTATTTATAACCATCTCTCAATATACGTACATCTAAAATTTGAAGGTCCCAGTTAATAGTACAGCATAAGGCATGTACTGTATTTACGTACACTTCATATTTATGCCTTTGGCCCGATAAATGAGACACAGCAAAGTTGTTGTTTTTACTTGCAAATCATGTATTCTGTTTTGTTAAAGTGAATACAGTGTGTTTTAATCAATTGTGAAGTTATTGTAATTGATATACAGCTTCATAGTAAGTTAATTATTGACATACAGTAATAAATCGTACACATAACCTCAAAAGTGAGCAGTCCTGGACCTCTTTATTTTGTAATTACCTACTTAATTAACAATATTTACTGATTTTAGCTAAAAAATGAAAGAAAAAAAAAAGGGAAAAAAGACTGACAGAAAAATAGCCTCTAAGGGTGTAAATAAGCAGCAATTGAAAAAAAAGGAAGGGCAACAAAAAAAGGAAGAGAAAAAATTTAAAAAAAAAAAAAAAATTATTATTTTTATTTACACAAAAAAACAGCAAAAAAAAAAAAAAAAAAAAATATTTTTATTATTTTTTTTTTTTTTTTTTTTTTTTAAAGGCCTCCAAAAATTTTTTTTTTTTATCGCGGTAGGTTCAATCTGACAGTTTTTGTATGTCTCATAAACCGGGACTGACTGAGTGGGACAACTGGGCCATGCTGTTTTTTGATGAGCCATTAATTGAGACCTCATATTTTTCTCCATTACTTTAAGTTTAATTATTATTGCGATCTTATTTATACACTAAAATAAATTTTTTATTGCTAGAACACATAATTTTTCATTATAATACAAAAAATTTTCTGGTTATATGTATTTTTTAGCTTCGAATAGCTTATTTCACTTATAAGTTCGCTTAACCCTGTCTCACAATCAGTACATTTACCTTACGAACCGAAAGGTTAACCCTCGCCNGGCGATGTGGTCGAGGCTTGTTTAAGGGATGAAGTTGTGTGATAGTTTTTGTAGGTGTAGTAATGGGTGTGATTGTAGGTGGCAATTTGAGTTCAGGTGGTGTGTTTATTGTGTTTTCAGGTGTTGTTTTTATGTTTTGTTGATTGAATTTGGAATGGGGTGGGATGATTACGATTGATTTGATTTTTGGTTGTGTGGGTGGGATGATTGGTTGGTTGATTCTAACAGGAGCGCAGTCAAAGAGTCGGGAGTCGGTTATTTTCGTTTTGCTGGGTGGGGGACCAAAAAGTATGTTGAGGGCGTTTCGTAATTTTCTTTCATTAATTGGGGTTATGGTAGGTGTTTTATTAAAAAGATGAGTCGGGAGGGGTGGTGGGGTTTGGGTTAGGAGTGGGGGGAGGGCAATCGTAGGGAGGATAGATTTAGCGGGTGCGACGATTGGAGCCTGAGTATCTGTTGGGTGCGGGAGCCCCATGACCCATTGCTCTGCTCGTATCTGCTGGATTTTCATCATTTCGTGATGCTTCTTCTTTTCCCTTTCCATTCGTGCCATGGCAACCTGTCCTCGTTGGTCACAAGGCCCATGGTATAGCGTTTGGAGTTGTTTCTCTCTTTCCTTCAATTTTTCCATTTTTTTTTTTGATTCTCCTTTCTGCATTTTTCCCCATCTATTAAGGGTTTGTTATCTATGTATTTCTACTTATAAGGTTGATATTTGTCCCAAACTGCTGACGACACTGACAACACATTTACTCTCACCTCATGCTGTTTTTATTATATTGTAAGGCGCTCGAGGTCCTCAATCGCGATATCATTTTCGATGTCGATGTAATCATCGTGTGTTTCAGTATTCGTTTCTTGCGGCGGATTTTTAGTAGGTGACTGTGGTGAGTTAACCGGACCTTCTGATGGACCAGGGTCTATTGGTGGTTGGTTTAATTCCCGTAATAACGTCTCTAGGCGTTGTTTAGTCCGCTTTATTTTACGGTTGAGCCGTTGTTGTTGTCTCTTTGTCCTCATTCTGTGTAAGATAAGGACGCAAGTCAATACCATGAAACATTCCCCTGATTTTATGTTGGTCGTTTATTAAGATAAAGGTGGAGTGATTTATAATTTTTGTGATGGTATACGGGCCTTCATATAATTCTAAAAATTTAGCAGTAATCCCGCTTTTCGAAAACGATACTGGGTTTGTTTTTACCAGTACTAGACTTCCTAACTTATAGTCCGTGTGTTTCTTTAGTGTGTTATGTTTATCTGCCCTTTTCCTTCCTTTTCTTTCAATTCTATTAGCTGCTAAGTTAACTTTATCAATGTAGGGTATTGGTGTTTTATCAGTGGCCTCGATATGCTTATGCCAAAATCGTATGAGCAAGGTGTCTAGTTTTAATTCTATAGGGGNAATTTATATTACTAATGTGCATTTGCATGTATCATTACAAAAAATTCAAATACAAAAAAAAAAGTTTTTTCGTTCTCAGTGCAAATTAAAGTGATAATGTAGTTACAATTTAAATTATGATTGTCGTCCTTCTCGATAGAAGAAATAGTAGCTAGAGGATGTGTTTCGACTTCTAAACGAGATTCAAAATCGTTAACAGCTCCCGCGCGTGGTTGTCAGTAATCATTCTGCTGCTCCGTAAAACCATCAAAAAAGATTTGTGGGTCCTCAACATTGTAAGCTTTATCACTACTCCCTAAATGTGATTCAAAACAAGATATTAATCTATTTACAAAACGGTATACTAAATCATGATTAAGAAACCTTCAGCCAACTAACGACTTTCTTCCTCATCGCTAGAAGCGATGATTGGTACAGTACGCCTCCACCTCAAAGTTTGCTGTTCAAGAAACACAGGATTTTCGTCTTTCTCATTGTATTCGTCATCACTGTTAGCTACAATGGTTTAACATACATAAATTGATAAAAAAATATTGACACTAATAAGTCATTGCTGTCGCATTGTCGTAAATATTACGGTGGCAATAATAATTATAAAATTTATTAAACATGCTTCTCTATTTTAGTTATTATCACATGACTATTTCACACTTCTCACCACCCCTGCGATCCGCTAAGGCCACGGGCAAGTAGAGAGCGTAACGCGTACCGCGTAACCATTTGAGCCCATAAGAGTGAGAGGTAGGCCAAATACGCGAGCCTCTCTCTCACTCTTATGGGCTCAAATGGTTACACGGTACGCTTGACGCTCTCTATGTAACCGGGGCATAAGATCCCCGGGCTGTTACCCCCGTTTCAAAAAATGAGGTTTGGCGCGTCAAGTATATGGAAGAGAGAAATTTGTCGAGTATTAACATAATGTTATAAATAGTATTGTAACTGGTGCACATATTATTTCATGCCAGCTTTTTCCTTTTGCAAATAACAAGTTTATTATGAAAATAAGTTGTTTACGTATAATTGAGTTAATTCATACCCCTATCTTCACTTGAATCTACAACAGCTAGTATACGTTAACGTCCTGCAGCAATAACTGGACGATTTGCTCTAGGGTGTTTAGGATTATCATCATTTTGCCATTGTCTTACTGGTAGTTCATTGACTAGAGCATGTTCTTCCACCTCAGGGATATCATAACGGTTTCGACCAATACCAACGCCATTATCTGCACCATTGTTGCCACGACCATTTATACCACCATGGCCACCACGGCCACCAGGGCCACGACCACGGCCACGACCACGACGGCCACCACGGCCACGACCACGACCAGCCCGGCCTCTAAATCGACGGTCACCTACCCTGTCGATCACAGGAATTTTTTCATGTGGTTTTTGCTGTGCATCATTATTTATAATGTGTCGAAGGATGTTGACTCTTTCCTCGTTTGGAATTTGGTCATCATTTTCAAATGCTCCTTCTACCGTTATTAACATGCAATACATTATCGTACGTTTTTTTTTAATAACAGTGTGAAAGCATGCTTTAATGATATATTTTTGATACCTTTTCCAGAATCTGGCAAGAAGACTCGACGCAAAAATTTTACGTACGGCACTCAATCTACCTCTTCTTGAAGGTTATTATTAGGTAGCGTTACTTGGTGGTACTTGAGTTCTAAGAAATAAAAAAATAAAAAAATAAAAAAACAAATGAATTTTCGATTTGTTAATATTGTTGTTGGTTACTTACGCATTACTGGACCATTGAGAAGTCCTCTTTGCAGCATCACTGTATTTAAAAAGTCTTTGACACGTATTCTACAAACAAATTGAGTTGTATAGTTTTATGAAGTTTTCAGGCTGGGCAGAAAATCCCTTCCTGCAACATTCTTTTTTTTTTCTTGAGTTTAAAATATGTGATAAATGAAATTATTACTTTTTAAAAAAGTTAAACACAAAATAAATTTAAACTCGTTTTCACTATAACTAAGTTCAAATTTTTTTTTTTAACATACGTCACAATAGCATACAACGATAAAGTTTTAAAAATGGTACTTATAACATCAATCTGTTGTCACAAAAATCACTACATAATTATTCACAATTTTCTTGCGTTTTTCGTCTTTAATATTGTAGGTTGACCATATAAATAACATCTTTTCAAACATAAAAGCTTGTACAATACAATGATACACCGATATAACTCACAAGACCGTCGTAAGACGACAATTGTCGTAAAATACTCAGTACGGACTATATACAGGAATTTTCTACCTTTACTATCTTACCTTCCTGCATTGACATCAACTTGTAGTTGGTTCAAATCGCGGTCATGCTGTATATCTAGAAGGCGTCTTTGGATCCTTTGATCTATTCCTTTGATTACTTTTTGGTATTTTATATTGTAATCGGTCATTACCTCTACAAGTTTATCTAAAAGTTTTTAAAATTAATATGATTATCAATTCTATTAGAACCATGTTATTTAGCACTACTATTTTTAGCATTTACCTAAGAAATCAAAAAGTTCTGGATGATCGTGGAAAACTTTGTGAATTAATTTGTGGAACCACACGCAAATATTGTTTGTTCTGATTGCTAACAAAAAAACAGGAAAAACACGTCGAAGTGGCGACCAAGTTTTGCGGAAGTACGTAATAAATCTTTCGATGCGCGGATCATCTACTTTGTCAGCCATTGAATTCAACACTCGCAAACCTTTACGCATCAATTTAGCGGGTAGATGGGGCAATGCCATTGCAGTCTCCAGAATATCGACGCACTCCCCATCTAGTATTTTAAGCTTTTGACACTAAATTTTATCAGGGCCTGAATAGATAAATTTAATGCACAATAGTATTAACATATTTCTATTTACAAATACAGTGAAATCAAAATATGCACAGAACTTGAAACTAAACGTTAATTTTGAGTTACCCAAAATTATTTACATAGCAGAACTGACTGTTGTATTCATCCTTTAATTGTAAATTACAACGGCTTGGTGCTTTCATAACGACAGAAACAATTTATATCTCATGCTAATTGATAAAGTGTAGATATTGCTCTCGTTGCAATACAATAAAGGGAAAGATTGCTGATTTTTAAGCTTATCCATAGAAAGCATAATAAACACTATTACACCTGGCTTTTGATGGTTAAATACGCGACATTTTGTCAGCTGATTAGCTGACCTAATTCGATGAAAAAACGTAAAGATGTTGAATAACAAGCATTTGGTTATTCACAGTGTTACAATAGTACAGAAAAAAAGTTCGTTACTCAACACTTTCCATTATGTCACCTGATAAGACCAGCAAATGAGAGCGTTGTGTATTTCGCACTCAACACTTATTTAGAATTTATGTTTTTAGCTCTCAATAAATCAGCTGAGAATTGAGCAAACTTTTCCGTTAACTTATATTTCATTTAATTTTTAATAAGACTATAGCACTCACCATAGTGTTAGTAACTATTTTTTCATTTTTTCAGCATTAAAAAAACTTTGCTTACTTGTTTTTAATGAAATAAGCATCCTGGAATACGAGCATTGAGAAATTTCGCTCGGACAGCATTGATGGCTGATTTTAAAAAATCAACCATAACACTCTGGACGTTGTTTACCATTTCAGGAATCAGCTGCAAAATTTTACCCCATACTGCTTTGTACAGCTTTTCAGTTCTACAGCTACAAATCACAAAAATAGCAGGAAAACCCTGGAAAAAAAAAATTTCTACTGTGCGCGTAACGAATGCTTAACATAATTGACTGAGTTTTACCCGATGCAGTTCCCTTATGTGAACCACAAACAATTGCGCAATATCATTCGGCCGCTTAGAAATAACCTGTTAAACAACAATATGTTTCATGTCTGTAATAAGCGTTATATAAACATTTTATTTTTCATTTTTATTACTTGGAATGTTCCATCTCTAAAGATCTGAGATTACTGTCGCAGCGGCTCCATTATGGATAGATGGATGAAAATAGCTGCTGAACCACCATCATTTGACGTTGCCCTTTCTCGAAATATATTTTGTAGAGGCAGATAATTTAGAAGACTTTGGCCTAACCTACTTAAACTGGTAGATGTACGAGGACGATTTTTTTTTCGTTCCCGACGCATTTTTGACAGCGTACTTTCCAGCGTAAAGTAAACTGCTGCATCTGGAAAACTGTCGAATGCACTTAGTTATGTTATCTAACGTTACGTATTTGTTACTTTTGTTACATCATTTTGACGGCATACTAAATAGGTCCAAAATATTTTAAGAAACTTTTAATGAAAAATCTAGTTTTTGGCAAAATGTTAACTGTTACTACTCATTAGAAAAAAATATATATTTTCATTAATGTTTTTTACAAACTCATCCGTATATTCATGTTTAACATTGTGTATAACAATGGTGCAATGGTACACAGTTCTAAAAATTTGTGCTGAACTAAGCTCTCCATTCTACACTTAATCGTTTATATACCAGTTATGTGTCAAATCAATTAAACCATCTACACACCTTTTCAAACCACCGTGCAGAATTACCTGGACTATTCTACACATAGTAAAATACTCGTGTAGGACTACATGCATGGTTTAACGCTTGTGTAGATCTTGTATGAGTTTTAACGCACGCCTTATTGGTTGTGCCGAACAAATCTGTGTTGAAAATTCATGTGTTTGAATGTATTGGACCTCTGTGAAGAATTTTACGGTGCAGAACTGACTTCCTCTTTGAGGGGATCGAACCCGCGACGTTCGCGTTATTAACTCAGCGCTCTAATTTTTTTTTTTTTAGGAATTTTATTCAGAAATTATAATGGTACAAGTTTTTTCGCATTATATGTACTTATTTGTAGAGAATAATCTACGTACAGTTTTGTTTGACAATGGCTATTCATTAGTGAGACTACATGGTTAATTATACGCTCGCAGTAGGACGGGTTGGCGAAAAGAAATTTTACTATGCTCTTAGGCTGTGTGTATTGAGGATTGTAGAGATATATTGATATTATTAAAATAATACAAGATTTGGGCTTTTGCATTTTTGGTGCTGCAAGAGTCGTAATCCGCTTTCTTAGCTTTTTCTAGCTGGGTCCTACGTGTTTATTTAGTTTTGATGTGTTGTCTAGTTTTATACCGAGATATTTCGATATTTTACTGTATTTCTATGCAGGATGTCAAAGTTCTCCGCTTTTAGCTGGAAGATTTAATAGGTCTTTTTAAACGTTTTGCACTGTTTTTGTATGATTTCTCAATGTAGTATTGTCTCGCATTTTTTAGAGTTGATTTTGAGCTTCCAGGTGTGGTAGTAATCTTTTGATTTGTCAAAGAGAAATTGCATAACGCTTTGCATGTTTTGGACGTTTTTTCTCATCGTGTCGATTATGCAGTTGTTTGCAAAGAAGAGAATTTTTGTGTTTTCGTCGTTTTTCAAGTCCAATAAATTTGGGATTCCCGTGGTGTAAAAATTGAATAGGTCTAGGGCAATAACCGTACCCTGTTGTAGGCCGTCACTTAGTTCTAGCGTGAAATTCGAGTTTTTGTTCATCAGGTATGTGTAGAGTTTTTTGTTGGTGACTGCGCTAGCTATAAGCTTAAGAATGTGGTGCGGGTATTTGTTCTTGTGTAGCTTAAATAGCAGTCCCTTTATCCATACAGTGTCAAATACCTTTTCCAGGTTGTTTANATCTTTTATTATATCTAATTACTTATTATTATAAGACATTCCTAACTCTGTAACAAAAACACCCTTTGCATCTACATACATAAAATATACATAGCTTATCATAGATACATATTTTACTAATGGAAATACCTCTTTGAGGTCAGTACACTATAATATAAAAAGTGTATGTGTATACATCTCTTAAGTTGTATGGGATGCGCATTTGAGTTGTAATACGCCAAACAGACAAAGAAGTAATGAAGTATTATACTTGAAGTAAATTTGATTTTGAATAATACGTTTTAAATTTGGTCTTCTAACTTATGTGGGTCACTTAAAAATGTTATTTTTATCTAGTGGAAGTCTTCTCAATGTTACAAATATCTACAAACTCTTTTCATTTCCAATTTTTTCCAGTCTTATATCAGTTCAATGCTGTTAACTTTGACTTAAATAAAAATATCCTTCAAAAGATGGGCTGTCATAGCTTTTTTAAGTATTTTTCTTTAATGCCAATGCATCAGTATCAATCTTATTTATTAATTTCATCATCATACTTGTCTTTCACCATTACTAAATAAAAAGCAATCGAACTCTGTTTTTCCTCTATAGCTCAATTTCTATAGCCTATTTTATCCGTTTTTTTCTTTACTCTGACAAAAAAAATGAATACAAAAAGCTTTTCTACACACTTTTTACGGTTTCAAAACCAAAATACATTTTTTAGTGACATTACATGTTTAAAAATTTGTTTCCAGATCATCTTGGGGAACTTTCGATTTGGCTTTAGAAATCATAGGAGTACTTAACAAAACTTTAAAAGTCACAGAAACGCATAAAAGCATTTTGACGTAATCTGATGACTTATTTAAATGACTTGCTAGCATATAAATAACTGCCAAAGTAATTCAAAAATATTTCATGGCTTTAAGGACGATCTCCAGTTCCAGTGGTTCTCCATCAAAATTGATGTAAGTTGAGAATCTCTTTTTCGTTGTATGAGCAGACGATGCGCAGACACATAAGGAACTTGGCGACACTGCAACATCTCGCCACCGATCTTACTATATATATGTACTCTGGCCGTTAGGGTTAGGTTCCGCGAGGCAAGTATTCGCTACGTGCATAATTTTGAAGCAGCGCCACCAAGAGAAAAACGAGAACTATTGATCTGGCACAGCAGAAGGCAATATTCGCGATATGTGCTTGATACCTATAGGAACACAGCACCTCGATAGGTACACGAAAGGTTCTGTGTTTATTATACCACGAATTAATATAATGTCTCAAGTGGTACAATCCTACGTGAATAACTAAAGACAAAATTTGTACTACAAGCACTATAAGCGCTTGAGTATTGCTTCAACACAAGTCCGTGTACTGTGTGATACGTGATACGTTTTATTAGTTTGCGATGTAGTCAACACAGATCTCCTCTGACCAATCAGAGAGCTCCATTAACCCTATACCGGCGTGTTCACACAGTATGTACACACGTTCATACGATACGCTTAGAGGATCGGGCCCCAGCTAAAAACTCTAAGAAATACACAGTATACAATGTATTTCATTGCGTTTTTAAAATGAACATGCATGAGTAAAATATGTACATACTACTCATAATTTTTTTAAAAATTTAACCCTTAGAATGGTTGTCGATGTATAAACACATAACTTTCTAATGATAGTAATGCTTAGCAGTTTGCTAGCAGAAGACAAACATATCGTTTAGTTTTACATATTAGCACAGGTATTTCTGCGATCGCTTTTTCAGCTTGTGCACGTAGCGAATATTAGGCTTCAGAAAATTCCTCAATAAATATTAATGCCACTTATCAAACTGATCTTATCTTTTAGTTTTGCTAAAAGGCAATTTTTATGGAGTTAACATATTACATGTTAACTTTTGTTAAAATTCATTAAATCATGGTATAAGTTACTTTTTGATTTGTTTAAAGCTGTGGAGATCTCAAGTACAGAGAAAAATATAAGCCACTTATTAGACAAATGAATTATACGTTTTGATTTCACATGCTATTGAAAGGGAATAGTGTACGTTTTTCGACACACCAGTATTTATACTTTCACAGTCAGTCCAAAGCGTAGATAAAGTGTGACGGGAGAATTGGCATGTATCATCAACTTTATGTCCAGAACGCAACTTGATAATCAGCCTTAATGACTAGAACGCAGGTCGACTATTTTTTTTAACGACTGGGATTCAACTCGAACACTGTAGTCATTAGCATCATCTAAAAGGACACAACTCGATCCCTGCCAAAAAGATACGATGTTTTACGGTGACTATTAAAAATTTGGTGTATCAAGATCCAAGCTGATTGTACACCCTTCTCTTCCCATAACGATGCATTTTTATGAGTGAATGTACTCTCACATGCACAATTCAAGTCCAGTCATCTCTTTGCTTCGTTTTCATCAAATTTTTGGCAAAATGTGCTACTTTACATTACAACATCTCATAAACCATAAAGCTAGGCCTTCTGAAGTTTGAAACAATGCTTCTCAATATAGTCAGCTTCAACATATTAGTTTTTGATGGAAATTCATAAAAAATCTAACAAGTTCTATTAGAATATGTATCTTTGGCAGCGAGCTCGCCACGACCTCTCCATAAAAGCCCGTGTATAACAGAAAAACTTTAAGACTTTTTTTCTCAAAAACTACGAAGCTAGTTCCTCTAAAATTTTAATATGTTATGTGTAGTGATATAGTAAGTGTCTCATAATTTTTAAAAAAAATTCTATAGAAAATGAAATATCACGATAGCCCCCGTAAAGTTAAAAGATTCCCTAAGGTTCAATAAAAAAAAACAAAAGATCGAAAAAACTTTTACATATAATTAGATTCTAGGCGTTCAAAGTAATTGAAACTCTAATAGTTTGCAAAATTAAAAAATGTACAACTTATTTTTTTTCGAAAAATTATGTAGAAAAAATTTAATGACGCAAATAATATCAGTCAGTTGGGTCTGCCACTAGCAAAAAAGTTGTTAATAAACACATCGGAAAAAAAAGATGAAAAAAAAAGTTGACTCGCTTTTTTTAATTTTTATTTTTCCTCATTAATACTTTAGACAAGCTCGAATTCTTGTAACTAAATAAGAAATAGTTCAACAACCACCTTAATAATGGATTTTGTTGTTTAATGAAATTGTATTTTTATTTGACGAAAATAATTGACAATCAAAATGGAGATATATTTCCATTGAAAAGTATCAGAAGCAACATTAGTGAAAATTCTGGGAGACCATCTGGATGTATTTGAATCGAGTTATGACACCATTCTTGTATTATTGATAGCTTTATAAATATGAAACTTAAATCTTGCTTAAATCAAGGTAGATCTAGATGTGTAATTTTTAGTGTGGTTCTTACTTACGATAGTATACAGCTATGTCTTTGGGCTCCCCTTCTGACTTGGGCCCTTGAAGGTAAAGGATAAAGAATATGGAGAGAGTGAAGAGTAGAAGGAGAGCATAGCGGTAAGGGATGAAGAGTCGAATAAGAGATAAGAGAGCATAAGAACCAGGCCCACGAGACACAGACACACGTACTACTTCTCTCACAGAAAAGAGCTTTTAATAAAGTAGCATTGAATACAGTTCTCGCTTTCATTTATTGATGGATCGAGAAATCCACGTATCAGTTTATTGTAAAAATAAGTAAAATATATTCGGGTCTTCCATAAAAAATACAATGGCCTTGTATTTTATTTTTTAACCAAAACTTTTATCTACTCTACGTGGCTGTAGCAGCTCGTCCAACAATCCTATTATGAGAATTACGCCGTATTTTTTTATAACCATAAAACTCCATCGATTGCAACAATAATGATAAAATTCTCGATAGACTTTAATATTAAGCATTTTCTACTATGCGTGATGTGGTACGGTTTGTTATACAAATTTTGAACTTAATAATTCAACCACAGCTTTAATTATCACTTGACTTTTTTATTGAGTATTTGAGCTAAGCTACGATATTGAAGTGTTTTACTACAGAATTTGATCGTTAACACGAAAAAAATCCAGTAAATTCGACACACAAGGCACATTATGGTGATAATGAGAATAAAAATAAAACCTCCTGTCATATAATATTCAAACAGCGATATGTCTTGTCCATGGTAGCGGATATGTTGAGCACGCGAAAATTTAAGGGCATGTTCGATATGCCAAACTGCCTTTTCCATGGGCTTCATCGGCTCATCCCTCAGAATAGCAGCCATCTGTTTGATGTTGCGCGAGTATCTAAAAACAGAAGTTTTTGTATTTACACTGATGCAAAAGTGTATTTACTTTAAAAGTAAATAAACTTTATCAATCGATAATACTTTAATTACTTCATGTGTATCATTAGCAACAGTATATTGATAACATAAAATTGTTAACACTCGTAATAAAATTTTTTTGAATACTTCCTTCGATACTCATTTAACTTCTTTAAAAACTCTGCTTATGCAAAAAATTATGCATCAAAACTTTACTCAATAAAAATTATATTAACAACACTTTNATATGTATCTTTGGCAGCGAGCTCGCCACGACCTCTCCATAAAAGCCCGTGTATAACAGAAAAACTTTAAGACTTTTTTTCTCAAAAACTACGAAGCTAGTTCCTCTAAAATTTTAATATGTTATGTGTAGTGATATAGTAAGTGTCTCATAATTTTTAAAAAAAATTCTATAGAAAATGAAATATCACGATAGCCCCCGTAAAGTTAAAAGATTCCCTAAGGTTCAATAAAAAAAAACAAAAGATCGAAAAAACTTTTACATATAATTAGATTCTAGGCGTTCAAAGTAATTGAAACTCTAATAGTTTGCAAAATTAAAAAATGTACAACTTATTTTTTTTCGAAAAATTATGTAGAAAAAATTTAATGACGCAAATAATATCAGTCAGTTGGGTCTGCCACTAGCAAAAAAGTTGTTAATAAACACATCGGAAAAAAAAGATGAAAAAAAAAGTTGACTCGCTTTTTTTAATTTTTATTTTTCCTCATTAATACTTTAGACAAGCTCGAATTCTTGTAACTAAATAAGAAATAGTTCAACAACCACCTTAATAATGGATTTTGTTGTTTAATGAAATTGTATTTTTATTTGACGAAAATAATTGACAATCAAAATGGAGATATATTTCCATTGAAAAGTATCAGAAGCAACATTAGTGAAAATTCTGGGAGACCATCTGGATGTATTTGAATCGAGTTATGACACCATTCTTGTATTATTGATAGCTTTATAAATATGAAACTTAAATCTTGCTTAAATCAAGGTAGATCTAGATGTGTAATTTTTAGTGTGGTTCTTACTTACGATAGTATACAGCTATGTCTTTGGGCTCCCCTTCTGACTTGGGCCCTTGAAGGTAAAGGATAAAGAATATGGAGAGAGTGAAGAGTAGAAGGAGAGCATAGCGGTAAGGGATGAAGAGTCGAATAAGAGATAAGAGAGCATAAGAACCAGGCCCACGAGACACAGACACACGTACTACTTCTCTCACAGAAAAGAGCTTTTAATAAAGTAGCATTGAATACAGTTCTCGCTTTCATTTATTGATGGATCGAGAAATCCACGTATCAGTTTATTGTAAAAATAAGTAAAATATATTCGGGTCTTCCATAAAAAATACAATGGCCTTGTATTTTATTTTTTAACCAAAACTTTTATCTACTCTACGTGGCTGTAGCAGCTCGTCCAACAATCCTATTATGAGAATTACGCCGTATTTTTTTATAACCATAAAACTCCATCGATTGCAACAATAATGATAAAATTCTCGATAGACTTTAATATTAAGCATTTTCTACTATGCGTGATGTGGTACGGTTTGTTATACAAATTTTGAACTTAATAATTCAACCACAGCTTTAATTATCACTTGACTTTTTTATTGAGTATTTGAGCTAAGCTACGATATTGAAGTGTTTTACTACAGAATTTGATCGTTAACACGAAAAAAATCCAGTAAATTCGACACACAAGGCACATTATGGTGATAATGAGAATAAAAATAAAACCTCCTGTCATATAATATTCAAACAGCGATATGTCTTGTCCATGGTAGCGGATATGTTGAGCACGCGAAAATTTAAGGGCATGTTCGATATGCCAAACTGCCTTTTCCATGGGCTTCATCGGCTCATCCCTCAGAATAGCAGCCATCTGTTTGATGTTGCGCGAGTATCTAAAAACAGAAGTTTTTGTATTTACACTGATGCAAAAGTGTATTTACTTTAAAAGTAAATAAACTTTATCAATCGATAATACTTTAATTACTTCATGTGTATCATTAGCAACAGTATATTGATAACATAAAATTGTTAACACTCGTAATAAAATTTTTTTGAATACTTCCTTCGATACTCATTTAACTTCTTTAAAAACTCTGCTTATGCAAAAAATTATGCATCAAAACTTTACTCAATAAAAATTATATTAACAACACTTTTTTATACTGCATAGGATACAAAAATTGTTTTTATTTTGTTCTGTTTAACTTAAACAGCATGCAATAGTACAAGTAAAAAAATGTTAATTTTTTTAGAGTTTCTACATCAGACACTTTTTTTTTGTGGCATTTGGCACCTCAAGTCAAATAGAAAAGTTCAACAACAAAAAAGTTTTTTGAATTCAGAAATAGTATTAACTTGTTACAAAAAACAGGTTTATAAACCTTTTTCTTTTACTATAAGTCCTTCGAACTAATAAAACTTTGTTTGATTATGAGTATGTATCAATATTTTTTTTTAAATTATATGTAAGGTATCCGAAACTTTAAAAAAATACCTAGAGTAGTTAAAGCTTCGAGTAAAATGGTTCATTTAAGTAATGCACTAAAAAAAGTGAGTGAATAACAAAATTTTAACTGAAGTTAAACATAATTATTTCCTTAACTTTCATTGTAGTGGTGCTGCTGGTATTTAATATGACTGAGCCCTTTTTCCAAACTCATAAATCCAAAGTCTGTTATGCGGTAACTTACGAGGCAGCTCAACATTGTATTGTAAACCTTTCATGATATTCAAGTATAATTTACTTACGTTTTATCATATAGTAGTTGATTAATGGCCATCACAAGTGATAGATTAGAGATAAAGTCAATATTCAAAGACTTTCCTATTTTTGCATCTTTGATTTTTCGCCCATTAAAATGTTGATCTCCAAAAAAAGGGAACACTAACATTGGAACTGCGTAGTGTACAGCTTCCTGAATTGACTGCAGCCCACCTTGCATCATATAAGCCTTTACATTGGGATGTGCTGTTGTAAAAACTTTTATTGTATAAATGATGTAAGGAAATTACTGTAACAATAATGGATGGTCAGTGAAGCTCTAAAATTTTTTTCACAAAACTAATTATTAAACAGTATAATTTTGAAAGTATTCTTTAAAAAACAGATCATAGGCTGTTATTCAATAACATAATTAAAATATTATACTTTGATAAGGTTGAACTTCTAAAACTTCATTCAATATTACGTTAAACTCATATCATTTTCAACATTTTTAAGTGTACAAGGTAAAACTTCACTATCATTTTCTTGTCACGTATGCTTAACCTTTCATAATGTTTTGTAAAACTTTTATTTTATTAAATTATTTCAATGCAATAGTTCTAAGTATTGATGAATACAGTTATGTATACAGTTACTTCATGGTATTTTAACGCAACGGTTTAAAAAATCGTAAGCTTTTGGTGCATTCATTAGATAATTAGTATGTATTGGTGTATTTTGGAAAATAATTATTATTTACCATACATTCCAGTTGTAAGGAACAAAAAAATAACTTTTTTTAAAGGCAGACAAAATAACTAAGTAGTAGTATTGTTTACTTGTACTAAAAAATTGGTGTATCAAGATCCAAGCTGATTGTACACCCTTCTCTTCCCATAACGATGCATTTTTATGAGTGAATGTACTCTCACATGCACAATTCAAGTCCAGTCATCTCTTTGCTTCGTTTTCATCAAATTTTTGGCAAAATGTGCTACTTNTTTAGGTATTTTTAGTAGGGCTTCAAGAGATCTCGAGAGTGATCTTGATATTGTCTTGTATTGTCTCGAATTTCAAGACAAGATCAAGACAAGATACGGCTTAAAATTTCAAGACACTACCAAGAGTAATATCCTCAAGAATCTTGGTTTTTTAGTCATTCTTGAGCTTACTTATTTACTCTTTATTTTAAATTAATGTGATCGAGGTTTAACATAAACTTACCCTCAAACTTTTTGTGAAAAAATATAAGTACCATAGATTTTTCAACGAGTGAACCGTTGTTAACAGAATGTATTAGACATTATGAACGTAAAATGGAAAGTATTACAAAATTACATTAAAAAGATTGTTGTTGATAATACTTCCACTTTTCTAAACATAATTACAATGAGTAGCAAAAAGAAATTCCCAAACGAATTTTAATACATTCTTTTTCACAACTGTTACCTATGGTGATTTTTGCAGAAATTAATTGGACTACGAGCGTTCCGGAAACGTTATTTATCTACTTTTCATTTAAATTGTAATATTATGTTAAATAGCTTAATTTTACATTTATATTTTTAAATCAATTCATTTCACAACGATGTTTTTGTTGAAAAATCTATAATGTAGTTGTATTTGTTAAAAAAAAATGTATTTAGCACAGAAGAAGAGAATATTTGTTAAATAGTAATTACATGTATACATTAGTGATCCTCGACATACAAAACCACTTACCTGACCATTTATTAACATTAGTTTAATGGTGCAAGTTCTAAATAGTTACAGTATTTTTATTATTGTAAGTCATCTTATACTATTAAACGATTATTAAGAACTGTTAAAAACTATTCATGAGAGTAAAGACATGCATACAGTATTTGTCATTTTTTTTAGCATCTTTCCAGACTTGGTATCCAGGAAAAAGTTTACTCTAAGAAGATTCTTTTGTCGAACAACAAAAAAAATTTCTGCGTAAGGTGCAATTATTAAAGTCTCTTATGTAAAAGGTTTGCCAAAAACAAGGAAAAATAGCAAAGATTTAGATAAAAGTAACAAATTAAGAGAAGATTCCAATGTTAAGAAAAGAATTGTTGGAAAATTATAGAAAGCAGCGGTAGTTTGTGAGACTTCAGGCCACATCTTATAATCTAAAGTTATCTTCATTACGTACTAATGGAAAAGCAAGTTAAGCATTGAAAGTATAGCTGTATACTCAATATGGCTTAACAACTCATTTATACTTATACTTATACACATTATGTACTATGCTTATGTGAACTACAAAAATATAGATTTCGAGGTCGGAGCGGCTACATGGCCAACGACAGCCTTACCTAGAATCGCCTGCTGGGGAGCCCATTTCACATATTTTATGTTGGTCGCTCGAACAGGTGCGACGCTGCTGTGTTTCCAGAGGACTCTTTGCCGGAGCGAGCCAAGAGCATCGGACAACGTCTTCAACGTGTCCAGCGACAGCTGCTGGGTTTGCAAATTGGAACCCAAAGAGAAGTAAATGGCACCCTCGCTCGCGCCATCCAGAAACTCTTGGATATCCTGTTGGAAATAAAAAGATCCGATCAAACGTGAAGAGGTATGGCGTATTTTTGAAACTGGAGGAATTTCACTATTTCTGTAGCGTTTGTTTTTACTTGAATCTATTTGCAGCGAATTTCCGATTTTCCACATTCAAAGTTTCTATGTCGACGTACTTATAGTCACCGGAAATCGAACGATACAATTTTAACGCTCCATTAGGAGAGGAAGGATAAAAAAGCGCTCATCGATTACATGCATATACATACCTTGGGAAGCGTTCCCGGATCGCCGGTAATTTGCAGACTGTGAACCTCTATTACGTTCGGCAGGAGGGGCTTCGGGTAGCCGAAAACGTGGTTGTTTCCGAGAATGACGAGACTGAAGTTCCGATCGATAGCCGAGCAGGAAACCTCCGGCGAAAATCTCTCGGCTATTTTCTGAGCCTCCGGCAAATGATAATAATTGTAGTAGAGTCTTGTGTAGCCCGTGTACAGGTAGTTCCGAACTCTTTCCCAGAAATTCATTCTGCCGGCGAAGGCATAAGCCATATCCGGATTAAGAAAAGGATCATCCGGATTTCCTGAAGTTGGTTCGCGCAGGGGAAAAAAACACATACACTGATACATTTTTATTTACTCGTGATGATGCAGCAGTAGCGGCGCTCGCGAATGATATATTTTTCCATAAAGCTTTGCGTTACTGTTTTCATTGTTCGTTTTACTACCCCTTTCGTCATCGATTTTTTTCCTTTTTTTCCATGCACTAAATAAATTCATTTTGCACGATGAATATTACAAATTTTCCTCTTATATCCTTATATTTTAATTCCATGCATGCATAATTTAAATTTTACTTTATCATTCCAACGATGAGCTTAACAAAACTTTTTTAAATCTCACTTTGGACACGAGTGATCGTGCCAATCGACGTTCCGCTCAGCCTTTGAAATTCTGACGACAAAATTTATGCTGCTTTATTCTTTTGAAATGACAAAAATAGGCACGCTTATTGTAAGGAGCGCCAATTTCAAAGTACAAAAGTTCGAAAGCATCTAAAGTTCTGCCCATCAAAGTCTTGGGGTCGCTCTCGCACTGTTCAATGTTCACATTCTTTTCTCCCGTTGCAGAAGAAGTAAAAAAAGTTTAAAAAAAAAGCGAGACATTGAAACAGAAAAATGCTCTAGGGATAACAATGCAAACCATCACAGCTCAGCTGCAATCGACCTTCCACTCGTTTCAAAGCTTGAGCGTGCACCACCGATCCATCTAAACCCTCACCCCACCCAACGCCCCAGGCCCGGAAAAGGGGCTGCGCCAGAAACTCAGTCCGGACATCTCTGATTGCTGACACGTTTCACTCTGCTTGCCGACAATTCACATCAACTTCCTCGACGTAACGATATCCGAAGTGCTCGGAGGTACGTTTTTCAGAGGACACCCCCGCGTGCATGCATGTGTACGAAGGAGAGCCGATACACCGCTCACGTAAGTGCCTACGTCGAATGACGAAATATACGTTACAAAACTTGACTTGGGCTTCAGCAGAGGATAGTGGGGTGCAGAGTATTTGCATCATTTAAGCTAGCCTATATCGCGAGCGTAGAGCATGTGAATGACAATCACGATGAATCAAATATCAGCCAACGCTATAGCTGGTCGTTGTAATGCATAAGGGCTGTTTGGATATAGCTCGAGTTGCGTGAGATTGTCTAATGAAGTGTATAAAATGACAGTAGGTACAGTTTGTAAAATTTATTGTTAGTTTTGCGTTAGTGTTTAAAAAAATTATGAAAATGTATCTTACCAACGGAGTCCATGGCATAAGGAAGATTCCCAACGCTTAAGAAACCAATTAACACAGGATAGTTGTAAAACTTCACCAAACTGTAGAAGCATTGGAACCACAACTGCTCGATTACAATTGCATCAAAAGTCTCGTTGCGCTTGCTGCTAGAGTAAAACACGACGAATGTAAGGGTACTTTCTTTTCAATTAGGTGTAATTACAGAAAACTACTGGATACTTGCGTGAGTTTCTCAACTGCGGAGCTGAAAAGTTGTTTTTCACATAGAACATTGGCTTTCTCCATGTTTCTGTGCAACAGCTGGTATGCATTCATGTGCCTGTAGGTAGCGAAAAAAATCATACCGAATTATGTGTCAACCAAAACAACAAGATAAGCAATTTTAATAATTGAATTGCAGTCCCATCGTCTATTTTAGAAATGCAAACGAAATTACAATATTGTGTTATTCTCGTCAGATTTAACGTAAATTCCAATATCTCGATACATTTTGCTTCTACATTCAAAGTACCTATACATTTTTCGGCTGAATGTCTGATCGTTTCATTGATTCGTATAGTTTTCCAGAGCCATGGGTAAGAACGTATCAGACATTATAATTTCTCCAATATGAGAAAGAAAGCCGTTTTTCAAATCGAATTTTTGACATCAAATATTGCAAATGTAAGATAGTTGACTTATAGCCCATTACCCCAAACAAATTTCTAGCAACGAACCTGAATTTTGTGCAATCCTCCGTTTTATAGGTAAATGACAAATCAATGCCAGTATAATTTGGCATGGGTTCCTGAAAAGTACAAAAAAATTGATAAATATTATTCAGTACATTCCGCCGACAAAAAATTACGGCAAAAATTGACGTGAAAGTCTATACACACTCGATTTTGTACTCAGCGTGGGAAAGGTATAGCAGAAGGGGAAGGGTATATGAAACAGAAAGAGCAGCGGGGGAGGGTGCACGGCCTATTAGGGAAGAGAAATGTTAGTACGAGTAAATTGAAGCCGAACTAAGTTTGCGTAACTCTTCGCTAAAGTTTAACGAGGGGTAGCGCGCACGGTAGGGGGCACGGGAGCCAGAGCTAAGGTACGACCAGAAGGAAGACAGAAAGAGAAGCGAAAGAAACGCAACGACAGCAAGAAAGCAGAGAGCGGGATGTTACCCCCCCCCCCTCCCTTGATCCGTTGATCTCGTGCAGTGGAAAAAAAGGGAGAAAGAGAAAAAGCTAACGTGCACAAAAAAGTATCAACACGAGAGCTAGCGAGCACCAAGGACGAGGACGCCAGTTCGCAGAGTCTGAAAAGTGTGGAAGCTCCCCAAAGTTTTTAGGTATTTGAAATATCGTTAAATTATGAAATTGCTCGAGCGAACTTTTCCCCCCACCTTTTCTGCTTTTCGTGCTCCCGCGTCTAACAGAAAATCTCGCTGCTCCGACAACGTGTAAACACAAACACCGCATGCCTGACTACGGATCCGTGAAGCTCGTGACGCGAAGCGCATGCATTTTTCCATCCACGTTCCTTATTTCGTTCCTTTTTTCTCTTTTTCTACGCGAACGAGGTGTTGCACGTTGTTTTTTCTTCTCAATAAAAAAAGGAACAAAAAAGTTTAAAGCAATTAGAGATCTTTGCTCACTGGATCGGTTTCATCTCGTTCAGAGACTTTTTCCAGCTGGCGACGATATTTTTTTTTCTTCTCCCGTTCACAGTTCCGTAGTCCGGATGGCGTGCGGATTCACGCGTTGCATCGAAATGTGGTCCAATCTCGTTACGGTCGTTATATCTGTATTTATGGGGCACGCGACGAGTGGACGAAGCGTGTGGAGTTACGAGTAGCAACTGATAGTAGACGGGCACTCGAAAGATTTTATTGATTGGTCAAACTTTTAGCTCTTTATTTCAGAAAGTTTGACAATAAATGGCAAAATTCGCGAAGACAAATGATTGGAACGATTTTGTTACGCGGATTGAGAGGTAGGAGTTGTTTGATTGATGTGTTACTGAGAAAAAAAATTATTTTTGATTGTCATATTACGGGAACAGAATGTATATACATCGACTTAAGCTATAAGAAGGTTTGCGTGACATGTTGTTGTTTACAAAATTTCTGGAGAATATTAGCACTAATATACTTTAGTACTGGAAATGTTTTAAAATGTTTGGAGGCAAGTAATTGAATTGCAGTTCTACGAGGCTGTAATGGGGAGGTTATCATGAAGGTGTAGTTACTGCAATATTTTTACAAAATGCTCAGTAAGTTTTGTACAGAGTGTTATGATAAAATAACTTTTTGGAGTTAATGATGATTGAGACGTTACGCTAAATTTGATAGAATCTAACTTCACCGTTTTAACGACGTGTTTACTCAAATTTATAGCGTAATGTCGTTTGTATTATCTTTACTTTTTTACACTCGTACAATTCAACACAAAAACCGAAATAGATAGATGAGTGAGTTTATTTTCATTTTCGTAGATAATAATTCTTATAAATGTATTATCAGCCCAAAACTTATTTTTAATGTTGAGCACGATAATCCTATTAATAAAAATATATGCATGTTGAATGGGATTAGTCAAGAAAATATGCCGATGCTTTATTAAATTGTATTGTGCACACAAAAATCTAAAACATCTTGTTACAGCCCGGGGCCGCTTTTAACAATCTTCTTTTGAAAATTTTAGTCGAATTCATAAAAAAGACTACAACTTTATACGTGAGCTAAGACTTATATGTAATCCCGTCTTAAAATAAAGAATAATTTCGAATAAAGCCTTTAAATTGTTACGTTATGGGTTTAAGCTAATATCACCTAATTATGATTTAAATGATGTACGGGAGTTGTAAAAATAAACGTTTTATGAATTATTACAATAGTATCACGTTGTTCTTACAAACTGTCATAAAAAATAACATTTATTTATCTTTGATTCCACAAAAAAAATGTAAAATACAAATGACGGTAACAACAATGTAATAGTATTAAGTAACCTATGGGTTAAGTAAGTACGTTACGCAGAATTTAAAAAAAAGGTTAATAATCAAATAGTCCATACTATTTGCAAATTAAAAAAACTACCTACTTTATAAAATATTTATCAGTACAAAAAATGATTACGTAATGTGTGTGTAAAACATCTGATCGATAAAGAAACATCAACGAAGCAAGAAGTATCGTTGCAACAGAATTATAATATATACACATATCTATAAACATAAAGGTGGTGATTTTATTAACTTACAAACTCAGGTTAATTATTTTGATCAAAAATGTTAATTAAAAAGATAAGTTTGAGAAAAAACTATCTTTGCTTGTATTCTGGACATTTTTAAGTTTCATGTTATGATAACAAGTTGATTTTTCATTATGCAGTTTCAATCTTTATTTTTTTGTAATATTTCGAATACTAATTTTTTTTGTCTTTGATTTGTTGAATAGATTTTTTATTTTAAGGAAGTTGAAAGTCTGACTGAATTTTTTCGTATGTAAGGTGACAACTAAGTCATCCTTCTTCTTGTTATGTTAAATGTATCGCACGTGACTATATACGGTACATTGTTAGTTTCATTGAGCCAACCTCATGAGTGTATAAAATAATTACGTTATCTAGTTTGTTTTCAACAATTAGATAAAATTGAGCTTTCAGTTTCTTGAGCAAATTGTTTAATACAGTGGGTTGTATAGAACAAAAGTTTTGGTATATATAGTACGTAAATTGTAACTAATTTTTTAAAATAGTTATTTGAATTAGCATTATTTAGTTCATAAAGTCTTGTTTAAATTTATTTATGTATATTAGATTGCTCTGATTTAAAACTTTTTATCGTTGAAATATTTTTCGTCAGCTAAGCATGCCAGAAAATAGAATAACTTGATCAAATATTGTGTATAGTGTCAATTTTTAGTAATACTAGATGATTTAAGTGGTAAATATGAATCTATTAAATGTAGCTGACCTAAAACAAGTTTGTCATTGTCTAATTTTCATGTTTAATTTTTCTAAGAAATGTAAACATCGTTTTTTTCAAGTTGTAAATTGTTTTTTAATTTTAATACTCATATTTAGCTGTAGAAGTGGTTTTTGGAAAACAGTTAAAGGGTATTCATGATAAAGAATGGAGGCAAGTTCGCTTGTAAAAGAATCATTGGATACCATGATTGGTCTCGATGAAAGGGATTGTTTTTATATTTTTGTGAATAATACAATCTACACAAGACACTGTACACTCGAGTGAACATAATTTTTGTTTGGCATTTGCCAAAGTTACTGCCGTGTACAGTTTTTTATTTTTTTTGTTAATTAGATTTAAATTCAAAAATTTTTTTTAAAACCTTATAACATTGTTGATTTCGCAATGTAATTAATTTATTTTTTTGTGCTAATTTTGTTAAACCTATTTTTTGTTTTTGCATTATTTAAGTGATTTTTTTCGCTTAGAGCATCTGGCTAACAAACTAAAGAAATTTTTTTTATAAAAAGTGCACTTTTGTGTAACAGTACAAAAGCGTATGTTTCAAGTTTTTTATACATCAAAGAGCAAAGGGGTTATACCAAGAGTTGCACAATACACAATAGCTGTACTTAAGTAGTTGGATTCTCTAAAAAAGCAAACTGCAACTTTTTATCAAAAAGACAAAACAGTTGTTTAAATTTGACTCTAAGTTGTTTAAAGTACACTTTATTTTATCTTTAAACTTTACCAAACGGTCGTAATTATTACCATTATAATTTTCATAATTACTATTATTATTATTATTATTATTATTATTACTATTATCATTATTGTTCATGATATGCATACTTTATAGTAGAGAAATTACTTGTGAAACAAATTAAATATACTTAATTATTGTAGTCTCAGCCAAAACATTGCATAAAAAAAAAAAAATTTATATATAAAAACTAAGTAAAGAGCTATAAGCAAAGTAAAAACGAATGTAGCAGCTTTCACGTGCAATTAAGCCCACTTGCGTACTTCCACAAAATAAGTGTTTATGTACATGCCCTAGAGGCAAGCAAAGAGAAAAAGGGAAACGATGGAAAAAAGAGAGCATCCTTTCAGTTTATACAGATGTAATGCCAAGCAACTACAAAAAGCAGCTGTCACCGCTGGAGAGCTACTGTCAGCAGCTATTAAGTATACAATGACGACGACTGCAATGAGGAAAGAGAAGAATACAAATATTGGAGACACCCCTCGTCGTTGAGGTGGATAAACTTGACTGCACTAATGAACATGGCACATACAAACAAATACCCGGATACACACACACCCACACGTTGTAGAGTCTTAGTCATGCTCAGTCCAATTGAAAGAGACCGTACCTTGAGGGGCACTGGCGAAATAACAGTCACTTTATGACCTCTTTGCGCAAGGGCTTTCATCACTGCTTGAAAGGGTTGCTGATGACTGTAACTCGTGCTAGGGCAAATTCCAAGTATATTGAAGCCTGTCACTAGCTCTACTCCCGGCCACAGTAACAGTAGCAGCAAGTACGAGCAGCAGTGGTAGTGGTGAGCGAACATTGCCTCGGAGAATCAAGTGCAGTGGCCCGTTCCAGTTTCCTGCATGCGTGTATGCGATATAAAATAGATCCCTCAGCTCGGAGAAATGATACTTTGAGGACCCTGTTTCTCTCTGTGTATACTGGTACGATGACTGTTTCTCTGTGCAGTGCACTGCAACTTTTTCTCTGTTCCTTAGCTTCTTTGTCGAATCCTCGCAACAACAGAGTTGATCATGGTAGCTCGCAGTACGACACATACAAAAAGAGTTACATCCCGGGAGAATAATCGGCAGTATTGTGCGAAGAAGTATAGTCGAGATTGCTAGCGTCCGGGGAATCCGCTGCTGCACTTCGACTCCTCTTCTTCTTCCGTCTTGGTCCACAATAGTCGCAAGTCGCGCAAGAAAAAAAAAAGAGAAACTATGACGAAACCTCGGGACGATCGGCAGTAAAGTGAGCTCGAATTCTTTTCAGATACTGCGATAGCTCTCCATGGCTGATCGTTCCTCGAACGGAATACAGTATGCAAGTACTTATATGTCTTTGGATCGTTATGGCAGAGATAAAAGTGCGATTAAGAACAAAGCTGGGACTCTCAGACCAGTCTCTTACGCATTTCTTCAATGGCATGGCCGTAGGAACGTTTCACTGATGTATGTAATTTTTTCCTAATAAATCGTTATTCAATTCCTACGACTGGTGATCGGTAAATTGATTCGAGTTCAATAGAATGCTGTGTTGCCCGCTATGTTTTTGGGTAGGAGTTTATCATGGTATCGTTGGATTCAGTTGTGACTGACCCGATTGCAGTAAAGAACGTAGTAATTTCGCTCACTCACTTTAATACGAATCTATAAAAATAAAAAGTACGAAGTGAATGAGATGCATTTTATTTGCAAATAAGTTTACGAGTGAAGCTGTGTAGGAAAAAATTTTAATTCTTCTAGATTTTAAGATGAATTGTAGAAAATTCTCCCATTCATTCTATACGGAAAATAAGCAATAGCTCGCTTGCTAAAGCGTATCGTGTTACTCGTTTGTTCGTGGCAAATCACTCATCGCACTTCCACATGTTTAAATCTATTCTGAGGCTCGTGACAATGGCACCTATTGATTTCGTTCTTCGTATAATCAATGCAGAGGGATAATAACACCGTGATGCCCGAGGCTCCTTTCGTTTGCCGGATAAAGAACTGTTGTTTTGTGAACTCTGATTGCAAATACGCATAGGTATGGGTAGCAATCATTCAAATGATTTGAAATGAATCTAAAAGACTGTTTGTTAAAGTCGAGGAGATTGATCCATACAAAAGACTTTTTCAGTCTTTTATCAGTAGAAAAAACCACATAACTTGATGAACATTCTCTTTCAAACGGAAATGACAAATATGCATAATTTTATAAGAGTCTTCACAGTTTTCAAGAGACATTACACATTTATATAAGTAGTGTACAGTGTGATTAGACAGAATGGACCTTTCAATAGGCAGATATGTACAAATCTAAAATAAATTTCTAAAATACTTCTTTAAAAAACTGTGGTTCCTTCGTCGGCACTAACTTGTATTAACATTTTTTACTAAAAACTTATGAAAAACTATTTTTACAGGTAGCTCCTTAATATTACTTACTTTCATGAAAATAACACCAACGTAATTAATTACGAACTATTTATTAATAATTTTTCCGGTCAGTTGACATGTTCGCAGTTTCGTTTACACAAAAAAAGCCAGTTCTTTTTAACCCTGTATAATTTTGTCTAACGAAGGAAGGTCCCCGGGTAATTAGCGCAAAAAAGAACTTTATTAGTAAGATTATTCTTTGTAATAAATCAAACAAAGATAAACTCATTCTAAGCCCTACCTGTCTGATATTCCTTGGTGCTAGTTAGATTATCTGAAACGTATTTTTCGCGCTCTTACTTTAAGAAAATATAGGTTTCAGATAATCTTGTTGCACAGATTGGTAGATAATTAAATAACGAAAAAATTATCTTTATCTATTTCTGCAGTACGGCGCTCCAAAAAAAGTTACAACCGAAATCCGAAGAAAAATTCGGTCGATTTTTACTGTTTCTTTAATAATAAAAAAGCTGGCACAAATATGTCCCAAAACTATTTTTCCATTCATTCTGATGACAACAGAAGCGATTCCAACACTTTTCATCGTAATCGCAGAAAATTCCTTATTGACCATTTTTTGAGGATTTATGTACCCACCTACATGTTTTATAATTGAAAATCAATAAAAAATGTTTTTAAGTTTAGAAGAAATATACTCATAGATATAATTTATATGGACAGATATAATTATTACTGCATCATACATCTTCAACTCTTGCACTTCGATGAGCTACATCTTAATCACTTTCTGCTAATGAACGTATACACATATGAGGAAATGAGGAAAAAATATTATGTTCTTATCCTCCGTTTATAAATAAAAAATTTTTTTTTGATGCACACCTTTGAGATAGGGTTTACTTTACTCGCAATTTCATCATGCACAACGAGAGAAAAATCATGAACACGGATTACAGTGGAGGTGACCATGTTTCTCCACGATTGACATGCAAAAATTATATCTCATACATATGATATGACGTATATAATAATTGAATGTGAGTTGCTGAAAAACGTTATCATCTCCACTGAAACCCGTGTTTACAATTTTTTTTCTCACGGAACATGATATTGTGAGTCAAATAAGTCCCATCTGAAAGGTGTGCATCAAAAAAAATATTTATTTCAAAATAGAAAGACAAAAACGGAATATTTTTTTACATTTACTTGTATGTACTTATCAATTTCGTGTTAATAACTTCTCTGACAGGTCAAATACAATAACTTAATAGACACATTCAATTTCTTCAACTTTGAGTCACTTAACTTTTTATTAAACTTTTACATAATAAAACAAAAATGATCATTAATAAACTTTATTACAGACAATTTTGAGTCATAAGGAAAAGATCCCAAAAGTAGAATAACATCGCAAAAAGATTTTAAATATTGTTCTTGACATTCATGGGTTCAATGTCTGTCTGGCGAAGAAAAACAGCATCTTTCACGTTGGTTTGGCTTTTCCCTCGGTCTGTCATGGACGAAACGAGCCAAGGAATTTCCACGCCATCGCGCAGTAAAGATGAACAGATCGGATTAATGTCTCGTGTAACCTAAGCGACGTTTGGTACTCTTCGAAGGCGACAGATCATCTTGGGATCGGATGTTGCCTTTATTCTGCCCTCGTTATCGCTCGTACAGAGTGATTTGTACCCCACATTTCTCATCCACTTTTTTCATGGATTGTCTTTCACCCTTTAGGTATATTGTTCAGTATATTTTGGAGAAAAAATAACTTGAGTCATCTACTTTGAATGAAAATATAAAACAACCGATTACGTGCATTTTTTTTTCTATTTAAATATCTCAATTTATGCTCATTTTGGTAAAGCACTTATGGCAAAGTGGAAGCCTTGACAGACAATATGTTCGTATGAAGAACATTTTCTGCTTAGTGTAAGCCAAGTACAAAATACGTTTTCGTTCATTAACTAGTTTGTTGCTGGACATTATTTTTTTAAAAGTTATATGTACACTTTTGTTTATTTTTTTTTTACTCTTGTTAAATGTTTAACTAATAAAAGCGTGACAACATATTACTTTTGGGGTTTCTATGAAGACCGTGTCACGATCAATCAAATAACGGTTGATGAGGGACGCCCTTCTCTTCTCATACAACTGGAACATAAGTTGGAATAGAGAGGAGAGCTATAGAGTGTGTGATACGAATCATTAGCAGATGTATCGCCACGATGCGCTTTTATTGATAGTTGTACTTATCGTTACCTTGACAACCTTTTTATTCTCTTCTCTTCATTTATTCTTTTTATTTTATTCTTATCAAGTTTTTCCAGGGGTACAGTAAAACATTAATAAATTGTCGCTTTGACGAGTAATTGGTGTGCGAGCAACGCACGAAAAAACCCAGAAACTTTATATGCCAAGTTTTACGAGATCTGTCCCACTATCCGTTTGATTCAGCTACATCATAAATCAGCTCAATTGAGCTTGAAATTTATACACCCCTTCGTAAACTCCATACTTCCATACTTTCATCCTAATGAACATGAGCAAACCTTCAAAAATGAGCCTGTTTTAGTTTCCTGATTTTAGATAAAATCATGGTACAATAAAACAAGGCAGGCTCACTAGCCAGACAATTTTCGTCTGAGTTCGCGCAGGAGCCTGTATGACGTCATAATTGGGTACCAAAATTTGAATATGTATTTTGTGCTAAATATTAAATCATGTTAATAACAGCGAATTAAATAGAGTATCATGATAAAAACCTGTACATAAACTGACTTGACTGAACTAACATAAAGTAAATGTCTAATACAAAGTTAAAAAATGCAGTTAACTTGTAATAATTAGTTCATGTGCAATAACAAAATTTAAAAAATGTACGCAAAATTTTTTATATCTTAACAAAAAATCATATGACTTAGTGTTTTCAATAAGTTTTGAAATTTTTTTGAAGAGTTAATATATTTTTCTTTCGTAACTTATAACTTATAGTTTAAAAAATTTTTTGAACAGGTCAGTCGTTTTTATAAGTCCAACGTTATACTTCATATTTTTAAGTAACAGTGACCATCAACACTCACCTTCTCAATAAATAACGGAAACACTTTGTTGCTTCCTGCTACTGTTACCTATGGTGATTTTTGCAGAAATTAATTGGACTACGAGCGTTCCGGAAACGTTATTTATCTACTTTTCATTTAAATTGTAATATTATGTTAAATAGCTTAATTTTACATTTATATTTTTAAATCAATTCATTTCACAACGATGTTTTTGTTGAAAAATCTATAATGTAGTTGTATTTGTTAAAAAAAAATGTATTTAGCACAGAAGAAGAGAATATTTGTTAAATAGTAATTACATGTATACATTAGTNAAAATTTTTTGAACAGGTCAGTCGTTTTTATAAGTCCAACGTTATACTTCATAT